GGGGGAATTTAAAGGTGATAGCTTTTAAGTGTGAAATGGTGGATGCATTTACTTATACTCTTTCTCTCCTCTTCTACTTTATGTTTTTTAATTTCCTAGCTAGTTGTGCGTGTGTCTATTTAGAAGATATATGTTCAAGTAGACACCAATTTCAAGCTTGCCAAATAGAGTATTGAATTGTTTCAATCTATATAGGATGTTAGGATGCTTGAATTATACAGAGTATTTTGCACACATCTATCATATACCACAATGCGTCAAGTAAAAAGAAACAGAGAATAGATACTAGGGTTTTTTGCCAATAGAGATTAGGGTTCTATCTAACGTATCTCTTCCAAACATTGCATACTATACAATACAAAAGAGTTGGCTTTTGAAAAACTCTCAAGTCTCAAGCATCGAAACATGACAGACACTTAATTAATAATACTAAATTCAAAGTGCTAGTACACCATGTCACCATCACACTTTTTTTCTTAGGAAGACAAGATATTTTGTTCATACATATAAGATTTGTTTGTGCGTCTGAAAATTTTTCACAAACATCTTAAGGATGATATGACATGGTCTACATAATATATATGGTTTACAACAATCACGACTTAATAATTTTCTATCCAAAAAAGAAGTTATAACTTATAAGTAGTAAATTACTAAATCACTTTGATATCACATCACACAATACCACAAATAAATAAAGCTAAATTAGATTCTAAAGAGTAATATACACATGCCAGTGTATTATAAGATAAAGAAAATAAGCCTCAAATAATATATTACAGAGTATATGGTATTGGAATTGACTGCCTCTTCACCCCAGTACAAATAAATGTTGCCATGAATGGCTGCACGCCTACATCTTTACAAATTTCTCTATAACTTTGTGGTGGATGCATATGTCATGTTTTCTTCTCTTTCTGTTTTTTAGCACAAAATCACAGTTTTCTAAAAATGGTATATACAATTATGCATGGACGGTGCCATGGATGAATATATGGATGCAGAAACATCATCCTTTTTTTTTTTTACCATTGATAGTTACGTTACAAGTGTGAACAATGTTAGTATAAATGTACTCTCCGTCCCAATATTAAAGTATCAATTTGACTCAACACATTTTAAGGCAAAAAGGTAAAAATATGTTGGCATTCCCATTTTACCCGTAAGAAGTAAAAAAACATGAAAGGGTGGGAAAAATGGGGAATATCTAGGTAGGAAAAGGTGAGTTGAAAAGTAGGGGTATTAAAGTATTTTAATATGTTAGGTGTGCCAAAAATGGAATGGAGACTTTAATTTTGGGATGCCAAATTAGGAAAGGGAGACTTTAATATTGGGACGGATGGAGTCTATGCTTAGAAGCCACTGCCTTAATTATTCGCGTAAAAATTCAAAGGCGGGATTCTCAAGGAGTTCCTCAGCAGGTTTTACCCCAATGAAATCAATATCCTTGAGGGAGATGTTAAGGCCATCTGCTGAGAAAGGGATGCTGCATGCACCAGAAAAGGCAAATGGCAGACCCTATGAGTAATAATAGGAAACAGAAAATTTACTTTCATAATATATGCTATTTTTACCTCAAATTCTCATCCAAGGCATATGAATAGTTTCTGTCGGTGTCTTCTGAATCCTCTGATGATGCTAGTACCTTAATGTGTGAAATTACCTACACAATGCAGGGAAGGCCTTTCAATGATGGTCACTAAAGCCAAGCCTTAACAACCCTAAGCCACTAGAATTGGCTACATAAACCAATATGTAATCTTCACTTTTCCACCAAATCCTCTAAGGAGAAGCCCCAATGTCCTAATGTCTCTCTCTTTTTTGTTTTGTTTGCTTACCCACTTAATGCAATAATGCCACTAAATCAAGATGAACTTCAAAGGGAGGGAGTAATATCTAGGGAGCATTAAAAAAGGAGTAATTAAAAAAAAGGAGAAATTAACTCACATCTGAGGACACGGTTTTAGTATTGTTCTCATCTGAACATATGGTACATATTCTATAAAGCTGTTGGCTACTCAAAACCTGGAAAAAATGAGATGCCAATGAAAACACTGCTTTTAGAATTGAAACAATGGCACTCCTATTGAAGCAAAAATTCACATCCACAACGCACACCATATATGTCCTACACATGCGACCCACACCCATAACTGGAAGGGTAATTACTTGCTACACTTAAAATTAGCACTTTAGCACAAATTTATGATAGATGTGAGGTACCCAAACCCCAAAACAACAACAACCCAGTTAAATCCCACAAAAGTTGGGTCTAGGGAGGGTGTGTGTACACATTTACTCTGTACAAAACAATGAGGAACAAAAGAAGAAGGGAATGAGCATTTATAAAAGATCTTACAGGGCACAAGTCAGTTGTTAGGTCATCATAGGAAACTTTCTCTTTATCCTGGAGAACCTGCCAATAACATTGTATATCACTTGAAGCCAGACCAAGACCAATAAGAATGTTGTATCACTGTTGTTGTCTTAAAGTTTATGGTTACAAATCACTCTATTCACTTAGTTTGAAAGGAATTACACATTTAGTCTTAGATAACACTCCCTCCATCCAAAAAATAAGTCATATTTATAGAAAAAAAAGAGAACCACATTTTATAAAACAAATGGAGAAGTATCTAATTTATCGTGTAGTTTCTAAAATAAAGTTACAAACAAGTTCAATATGATAAATTCAGTTAAACCAAAAAATAAAATTTGAAAATGTAAGTAGGATTCCATCACTTATCTTAAGAGTTACACGTTGCCAAATATTAAGTGATATACCTTAAAAAAATATCTCTTTTATGTAAACAATTTACATAAAAGAAACTACTTTTATGGAAAGATAAACTATACATACCAAGAATCCTACAGCCTGCCTTACATGCTTTAACTCATCCCAAGAGGAGCCCACATACTGCAACAAAGAGGAGTTAATACTACTTTTTAAAGTTAAGATATCGTTACAATGTAAGCACGTCAAATATGCGCTTATGCATTCAAATTAAAGGACCTCTTTTGTTGCCTGCCCACACCAATGTTCTAATTCAGCTAACCCGCTTTTTACATATTCCCCATTGTTGAAAGTACAACAGCCTTCTTTGCAAAGGAGGCTGCGGCAATAAATTAAAATTAAATGTTAGGAAAACAAGTGAAACTACTGGTATATGCCGTATAACTATTCCTATATAGAATGAGAAATGAAAGATATGGAGATTACTTGTTAAATAACTGTACATTCATATGAGAGAAGATTTGGGCAAAAATGTTCTGGATAAGAAATGGAAACACCTGATACAAATATATAATTATACCATTAGCATTATATATTTGAATATATTTGCATCAAGGGAACATGGAGTAGGATATATCTCATACATAATTTCCTTTCAGTGCAGTGAGAAGTCCATTAAGGCTCCCAATGATGCTTTGCCATGGACTTATTGTTGAGTTTTCATTTTCTGTTTGAGGAACCTAAGATATGATGAGTAGAAATATCAGATGATTGAAAATAGTGACTAGATATAGAATTCGTGCACAGAATGCAGAAAGAGACATTGGTCATATAAAGACCATATGCATCCAAAAGTATACACCTAGAGCCTCATAAAATTTTAATCAAAGAGTGCTGAATTTTAAAATTTATCCCATAGAGATTAGAGCAAATTATTCCAGACATCAAAGGTTAAGCAAATTTATCTTCCTGAATATTTTTGGCCACCCCGGGGAGAAAAACTTTATTGGGCCAAATGAAAATTTTCTTTTGAAGGGAAGCAAAGAGAAATTTTTCTCTCTCAATAAAGCTTCTATTGCCAGACTAGGCCCCAAGAAAACGGGAAAGCAGAATTGATGATTATTGCTGCAGTTTGGATCTGAAAGTGCTAGAGTGAATAAACTCTCAATATGAAAGTCTTGGGAAATAACAATACACTTGTTTCTTTGTCATTTGGTGACTTTTTAGTCACACAAAACAATTTGGATTAAGTTTTACTATTCAAAGATCAAGTAATGGACGTTTTGCGATTAAAGCTTTCCTTGGGATGCATATGTTTCAATCTCCACAAGGAACTTCCACAGGGAAACAAAAATAGGCAAAGGAGGCACTTCCAAAATTTAAAATGGAAGAATGCAAGCCGTCTGTCAGTCTGTGTGCAATTCACAGAAAGGCAGAGAAGATGGAACTTGAAAGATATATGTGACAGTTACTAGTACTAGTAGGCTGTTCGAGGTACTAGGCAGAAACAAGTTGAAATAACATGTTATCTGTGAGTTTAGTTTCAAAATGGAGTTTATTATGGGCTTGCAATGTGCTTAGATATGTCTAAGGCATTATTGATTTTGGAAGGCTTCTGTGAATTGATAAGCAATAAGCTGATATTCTAACAAGAGGTTAACTAGCCACCAAGTTCAAGCTTGGAGCAATTGAGTGGTACTGGTACACGAGTTTGCAGCAAAGAGTGTAGAAAATGTAGTGTGTTTCCTAAATTTTCTACTTTGATCTGATAGTTACTAGTTCTGAATTTGAATTTGTTTTTCAACAATGCAGATTGTAATTTTTGAATGTTGAAGTTTGATTTCACCAAATATTTTGCTAATAACCTGGCATATAATTGTGTAGGTAATACATGTCATATAAGCATAAGCTTACAGTTACCTCCTCAATTGGTAAGCACGCCACACTAATTTTTTTGTATGAAATCAATCAAAACATGATGCAGATGTACGCATCAAAACAGCCAGCATTAGACAGGAAATTTTGATACCTGAATACATGACGTAAGTAGTTGTGAAAGATCCCTTTTCATGTTATCTCTTAGAATTCCATATATCTTTTCTACATAGGCAGTGAGCTGTTGCTTAAATAGCAAAGCAGGATACTTTGCTTCAACCAGTTGGATGCCATCAAGTCCCCGAATTGAAAGGCTGGATGAAGTAAATGATGACCTGAACATCCTTCCAAAAAAAGATGTTGGCTGGGAAGTTTGAGGTTGACTTGAAGCAGACGCCTTTAGTGTCTTTTGGAGCAGAAACAATAACATAGATGTGTTTGATAGCCAATATGCAATGTGATTATTGTCCGTCTCATCCTGTCAGTTGTGTTAAAGGAAACCAAGCTTATTAAAAAGTAGACATTATGTTGAAAATACATCTTTTGAAAGGTGACTTGTTGTTCGAACTACTTCTTTTCCAATGGTATAGATCATGATTGGGATAACATATGGTACAAACTGTTTGGTGCTTTCTTAAATACAACAACCCAGTATAATCCCAAATGGGGGTCAAGATGCCCATAAAAACAAAGAGGATGTTTCCGTAAACCCATGATGCATTGCTGCATTTACTGCCCAAAACTTCACAGACACTAAGAAGCAAGGAAAGTTTAATGTTTCATTTTGATTAGTCCATTAGCTCAAAACTAAAACATTGTCAATAATGACTCTTTTAGCTCCATTAGCAATGGACTCTTTTAACTGCATTGTTAAAAGCATTTTCACCATTTTCTGACATTCATTTTCAAGTAAAACTACTTTTCTCCTCTAAAAGGCATGTATTCCTTAAAAACAAGTCATCCCAAAAGGTTAGTCTGGCACATAAACTGTAGGGCTTGAACATTTAAACTGACAGAGAAGTCTTAGATAGGAAATAATTTTAAGATAAATAGTTGCAAGCCTACATGATTCATAAGCACCTTCTTTCTCCACTCAAGGTAAAGATGAAGGGTAAAAACACATAGTGCTCAAGCTGAAAGTGAGTCATAATGTCATTCAGTTACTGTATTTCAGAGTAAAATGTGTGGTCTTGGTAAATTTTGATGACGGATTAGACTTTTCTTGCCCACTTTAAAACATAGAGGATCACACATTTCGAGGGCTGATCTCACGGTCATCTATGGCTAATTCATCCAAAGATATTGGAAATCACCTCTATAGCAGTACCAATCATCTGAATTAGACGGTCAAAAACATTAGTTTTCTCTGCTTCAAAGGATTTCCAGTGAAGAAGGCATTTGTATATTGTAAATGCTGCAACTGGTTTTCCCTTACTGAACCCAAGATCTCCAGAGACACATTTGATAATAGTATCGACATTCTCCTGCAACAGTAGGATAGAACATGAGATTTTTTTTATAGCACTGCATTACATTTATCTGTTCTAAAATATGATGGGCTCAAATCATTAACTCTACTCGTCCATGAGGATGTTTTTTGGGTAAGTATATGTAAACCATTTTTCAAATTTAAATATGTGATTCCATTTCCAGTCAGAAGTTTGTATACAGAGTGAGTCTAGGCACCCTAGACTGAGCCCAAGCTACATGGGATTGAGGCTTTGTTGTTGTGACCCTCCACACCCTACAGTTGGTGAAAAGTATTACTATAAACTGTGATCAATATTTTCTTAAGGGGACACTCCAAGAGTGGTATGTGGGTTCATGATATAATTTTCATTCCTACCCCTCCTATCTCTCTTTCTGCAAGGTCAAAGCCACTGTGCATAAATTCCAATGAAAATGATAACGGAGTGTAATCCTTGAAAAGGTATATGTTTTTGAGAGTCTTACATTCAATATCTGGCATATAATATTTCCTGCAAATAGTGTTTCTAGTTAAAAATTCATGTACAAGGTTTGTATTTGGAAATGTTTCAACTTTCAATAAACAACAAGTTGTTTCTCTTCTTTGTTTTCCTCTACTGTTATTTATAACACCACCCGTTCAACTAATTTAATGGAATTAAAAAAACAAATGCTCTGCAAAACTATTGTTTGTCGCAAAAGTAACCTATGGTTGATGTTCCTAGGAACTACTCCCTGAGGATGGGGGAATGGTAAGTGGTTCCTCTCGGCTCACATAGACACATACAGCCAATAGTCCATGCCCCAGCCATACTGGTTTTCAGAAAGATTCCCTTGTTAACAGATAAATAAAGATGATTCATATTCTCATGATAAACTTACCCGCTGCCTCTCGTTTTGGGTTCTACTCAGCTGCTTATCTGATTCTGCGCCATGTTCGTTAGGTGATAGTGTTTCAGATTCCTATATAGGCCATCTTTGAACATTAGCCATCCATGATACATCAACCATTATTACAAACCATGATAAGAGGAAGCAAGTAATTGGGAAGCAGCATTTGTTTTCACTTACTTGAAGACCATTCTCTGAAAGCTGCAACCGGGAATAAGAGATTGGTAAGAAACATCTCAAAGAAAAACTAAATAAAAATGGTCTGTGGCATCATCACCTCATGTGATACTGTTAGATGTTCTGACGTTCTTTTGGACCCCGGATTCAATAAAGCTTCTTGCCTGAGTATGTGGACTTCAGTTTCCATATCAGAAAGCTTCTCATTAATTCTGGCATAAGATGCAAAGCCAAAAAACCCTTTAAAAAGGAGAGGGAGTATGATATCACAGCTTTCCTTAACACAATGGATAAAGATGTATAATTGTATACTGCATAAAATTCAAAAATGTTTTTTTTTTTTAAACAGATGAAAATATCTGAGTATAGTTGTTTCAAAGTTAATTAAGGCTTATTTGTAGATCTCCAATGCATAGACAAGTTATTGTTCCAACCTCTGCATGTCGGTCTTTAATTCGATCACTTTGGATTCCGCCTCCATAACCTGCTTCAATCGTTCTTCACTAAGTTTGTTTGTCTCATCAATTTCACTCTCCAATGAGGTAACCAAAGCCTGCAAACGTATGGATGAACATGTTGTGGTGGCAGTGACTGATGCGCATGTATTAAGAATCTTAACAAGCCATCTCTTCCAAGAGCATAAATGTAAAAGAAAAACTCACATCACCTTAAGCTTCACATTTTCAGCAGTAAGCTTATTGATCATTTCGTGATCATCACGATTATCGACCTTGACCTCTTTTGCAACAAGCACCTTTTCATCAATATTTTCAATCCTTTGTTCCTGCATGTTCATCTTCTTGGATTCTTCTAGTTGAAACTGCATTTTTTCTAAAGCAGACTGTAGTTTGGAAATTTCATGTGTTTTGCATTCCTCCATTTCAACCTATATCAAAAGTTATCCAAACTTTAGAGCGATAAAACTGAAACCTAAATGTAAAGTGGAAGCAAAGATCATCTTTTTTCCCTTCAGGTAGTCACAAACACGATAATAAGTGTATAAATGATAACAACATTTAGACATTTCTTAGCAACTCTGATATTTCAGACATCTCAGCTGAGTATCAGAGCCAAAAGCACAAAATTTTTGTTACTGACGTGGTGGTGAAGAAGACGAAGAATTGAAGCTATGGTGGATTTGAGAAATAACTCAGCCTTCTCGTCCTAAGCAAACATGAATGGGGCATAGGGCTTTGTCATTATGATCAAAGGATTATTACCTCAAAACGAATAGAAACCCTCTATTTATACTAGTCTCAAGAGTCTTCTTGGGAAAATATTAGAGATATAACTTTGCCATGTACCAGCAAGCAACTGAAGGCACGAGGACTAGGTGGAAGAATAATTTAAATAAATAAGCATTGTCTTTGTGCAGAATGGGTTAAGAATGTGATTTGAGAAAATCGTGATGGAACTCAGTTAAAAGGCTAGCATTCAAGAGAACATCCATACCCTCATGCGCTTCTCCACTTGCAATTGCTGGGTGAGCTCTTCCACTTGTTTTTGCAGAGCATCTGCTTCCTTTGCTGCCTGAAAAAATAAGAAAAATCAGGACAATAAGGGTATGCCCTATAAATGAATTCCAATAAGGCAAAGAGTAAAAACTAGTCCATATTATTGCATTAAAAGTGCTTGAAAGAGGAATCTAAGCCAGCTAGGAAAACGAACTCTCACCATTTTGAGCGCGTATAGTTCTCTTCGGGCAAGTGTTACCCTACATGCACATTGTGTTGCAATTGCAGCTTTTACCACCATCCTGTAATGAAGGTGTGCGAAGTGTCCACGGCCATGTCTCTGAAATCAAATTCATACCTTAGATCAATATTCAGTTTTCAAACACTGGGATGCACATGATAATTTCTTAGAGTATGATAAACAACCCATAAATTTGCTCTTATACATGTTTTTATGTTGGGAACTCAAAAACAATTAGAAGCTGATTTAAATGTGGAAACCCTTAAGCAGATTGTATATGTTGTTCAAGAATTGAACCTTCTTTTGAGGTACTTAAATTGGAATTTCAATGTTTACAGGGAAAAGAGGGCTGCCTGTCGGGTGGGTAAAAAAATATCAGGTTAAGGTCTTAGGTGATATTTGCAAGGCATTATTTGGAAAATTACCCAAGGTCAAGCTTAAATAACATATCAGTTCCAAACTCCCGTTGACAACATGAGATAAATTCATATAAACCATACATGTTTTACCTTTTGGTAATACATTAGCTATGTTGGCTATGAGTATAACAGCTATCTCAACTCATCTTCGCCTAATGATATTTCCCAACTTCCATGCAAGTGGAAATAGATAATGATGAAGACAGTTTTAGATGTTCTTCTCAGTATTGCTTCCTAACAAGGTTGCAAGAGGAAGAGCATCCTATGTAAGACTTCGTTACATTTTTTTCAAAGAGTCTATTTAGACTAAATTTCAAGTCACCGATCACAAGTAGTTGGGAATATAGTGGAAATAATGGCGGTAGTAAGAGCTTGAACATGTTGATTTTGCCAGAAGTAAGATTTGCCCATAACTAAAAGATCTAAGTTTGGTGATCAATCTTCTATCAAATAGGGACTTTGCGGCTGATATAAATGTGTAATGAGGTTTTAGAATGCAGGAATAATATATTAATATCTTCTATCTCATTACTATTGGTACCTGAATTAAGATGGCTGCTTTTGTTTCTTTTCTATATTTAAGCTCGTTACGTGCAGCCCTTTGGCGCAACACAGTCTGTATGGAAACAGCTGAATTCCACAACAATATATAAGCTGTCCTTGAAAGATGCATTCGTCCATACTTCTGAATCGTCAAAGAAGCTGCTTCCTTCCTCTTGCGCTCATAGAGGCTGCGTGCAAGTTGACCTGTTTTTACCCTCATGATTAGGTCAAGAGAATCCATGCATATATATTATTGCATCTATAAACCAAGATATAATGCGCTAGAGTGACCTCTGCACACAGCCTGGATTCCTATTGCTGAACCCTGCAACATGATAAAACTTTTGCGGGTATAATATGTGCGGACATTTTTCTGGATAGTGCATGCAGACCTTCCAAGGACCTCATTTCTGTGAGCATCTAAATCTGCCATCTGACCAGCTCTAAGAAACACCTTTGTTTTACCAATCTGCAATAGACCATCTTTAAGTACTCCTCGATCTTTCATAATTAAATGATGACTTTTGTATGAATAATATACGTACTATGTAGTAGTAAAACAGCTGTGACTCCACATAAACAGAGGAAATTAACTGTGTGAACAACTATGGGGAAGCACGTAACTTAAATCATACAAAAGGTTCAGGTCCTTAGTAGAGTTTATGTTCCCTCCATTAATGTTTTCAATTTAAGAAAATACTCGTGTTTGAAGCATATTCCTAACTTCAAGGGTGAAGGCCTGAAGGGCATGCCAGAATATATAATACTACATTTAAATGTCTCTCTCTAACCTTACACTGTTAGCCTAAGTGAACAAATCAATATTTTATTAGTTATTACCATACCATAATTGATGTAAAGGTACACGTTCCTCCTGAATTGATTTGTTAATAAATCAACATTCAATTTCTTTCCATATTTGATAGAACATAGGTAGAGAGCGTATAGTACCTGATAACCTTTGAGACCAGCCTTCTCTAAAATGCTTTTGCAAACGGCGATCTCATTGTTACTATCAATTAAGAAAATTGTTTAAGAAAGGGGTGACTAGAAGTAAAACCATACTACAGGAAAATACATAGTTCTAGTAACAAAGATAAAATTATATGAAAGGGATATACCTGTCGGTCATAATCTCGGGGACAAGGATACGAAAACGATTAACAAATTCGTCAAATGGCTTCCGAGTGGGGAACCCAGCGCAGCTTATCCTAATTGCCTCCATAACTCCCTGGAAAGACATAACAATTCATTGACCAAACTTGAAAATTACAATCATTTATTTGTATTGTCAGACATTATGAAAGCTTACCCCACATCGAAGCTGCTGAAGTACATTTTGATTTTCAAATATTTCTGGCTTTAGAAGGTTATTTGGCTTAACACAACGAATGTAGTGAGGCTCTGTGGCGCTGAGTGTCTCAAGCAACGCTTGCAATTGTTGCTACAATCATATACATGGTATCATTATTTCCATAACAACATCAAACTATAGCCAAAATGTGTGCAGAGGTTGCTTTAAGCATTAATACTCATTTAACCAGTAGTAAGTCTAGGGATGAAATTTTATGTTCCGAAATTGTATTTCAACTGTTATTCAACTATTTGATTATCGCCACGTGCATATAAAATGTGGTCATGGTGAAGTGTGAAGTGAAATTACTAAATAATTTACTGACAATCCATTGATTGGATTGTATCAGTATCAGATGAAATACAGTTTCGAAATACAGGATCACATCCAGTAAAATCTGACCCATGCTTGAAACCTACCTTAAATCTGGTACCAATAGAGGAGAACTTCGACGATTTAGAAGTGTCTTCAGCTAAGGGTGGGAACAAGCCTGAGATAAAGGAACACCTTGACGCACTGAGGAGTTCCTGATGCTCTGGGATAACATAATCTTTGTTCTTATCCAAAAAGAAATCAGTTTGATATGTGACCTAAAGATCAAAATTTCCAAATGTGAAAGAGATATTAAGCAAGACTTCAATCTTTAAAAATTCTTAATTAGTAAGTATGAAAAATATATACATCTCCAGCATAGTGGCAAACAGTGAAGTCAGTCCGGGATAGTTTTGGCTTGCTGAAGCGCTTATTATCTTTGAAGGTTTGATAGAGCTTTTCAGCGAAAGTCTCATGAGTGGACCTTGGGAACATGCTACAAGACGGAATAAAGGAAATTTTGGAACGACAAACCAAAATTAGTAGTTTACTTAAAACATGAAATTGATAGAAAAGGGATAAATTTTACCAGGCCTCGTCAAGAAGAGCAATGATTCCCCCAGGCTTCTGAAGACATTAAAGTATACGGAGCATTAGTCTCAGCACGCCATGTACTTCGTATATAAAATAATAAAAAATGTAATTGGGCTTAGCACTCTAACAGATGATGAAAACCAGCAAAGCATATGTGTGAATACAAAACAGGCATCTAAGCGAGTAAATACAAGGGCATCCCTCTAGTTATACAGCCCTTATTCTGGATGCTCTAAAGAGAACAAGCCAAGATACACGTGCGATCACAATCACTTCCAGACATAATCATTCCAAGACCAAATTATATACATAGATGTGTAGGTCCATATAGAAAGAAAAAAAATCCATGTCGAAGTTGACAGGAAAAATGAATCATCAAAAAATTTATCCCATGAAATAACAATCTTACAGTTCAATATGATCGACACACATATTACGTTATCCCGTGGAGAGGATATAAAAACAACAACAAGAAACCCAATTGATCCCATAAGGGGGTGTGGGGAAAGGTTATAAAAGCATTTCAATTAAATCCAACATAGACTGGACATACTATATATTTTCTTCCATATGCACAACAACAACAACAACAACAACAAACCCAGTAAAATCCCACAAAAAGTAAGATCTGGAGAAGATTAAAAAAATAGTTTTTCAATAGAATCTAACATGAGTTTCTATGTTAACCTTTTCTATGAGATCAAGAATATCTTGGTTATCAACAAACTCTATATAACTCCAGTCAATTTCCTCTTTGGTATACTCTTCTTGCTCCATCTTGAAGACATGCTGTCAAATGAAATAAAGTATGTGACATATATATATGCCATTTTAACTTCAACTCAGTTTAATGGTTAATGTTATCAACCTAGGGTGTTCATAGTATTTCAGGTACAAACCTGATTGAAATGCTGCTGCAGCTTTTCATTAGTCAAATTGATGCAAAATTGTTCAAAACTGCAAGTAAGAAATTAGTATTATCGATAGGCAAACAATCCACAAAGGGATTAAAAAACAGATAAAATAAATAACTACCATTACACACAAAAAATGCCAAACTGATAGAGAAACAAAACAAAAAGGAAAGTTTGTATTTAGAATTTAAATGTGGAAGCATCATTACTAGTTCTATATCTCGATCTACAGAGAACAAGAACAGAGTTATCGTGCAGCATTCTGCAAGAATTAAACCTCTGTGAATGATGAAAACAAAGGCATACCAGTTAAGCACCTGTTTGTCTTGAAACTCTCAAATCCATAAATATCCAGAATTCCAATTAAATGGTTGGAATCAAGATCTTGGCCAATAGAATTGTTAATCGTGTCCACAAGCCTGAAAAAGAAACAAACAAACAAGAAAATTAAGCCATCAGCACTTTACACTAGTGAAAATTTCACAGCATCAATAAGTTTCATCTACCGACCAATCAAATAGTCTAGAATAAACTGTTTTTGCCAGAGCATCCCTACTGATAGCAGCAGCTTGTGCATCAAGAGATTTTGTAATCTTCTCATCGCGAGTTACCATGATGCGTTTGCACAAGGAGTTCTCAAGTGACTTCTCATCACACCTGAATCAGACTTCAATATCATGAAACAGTTCTTTGAGACTTTGGGAGGGGGCACTACACCTATGAAGGATCATAGATAGAAGAAACCTCACATGAAAAGATCAGCTACAATCTTAAGATGGGAGCGAGATTCATCATCCTTGGGTTCTGAAGAATCGGGGTCATTCCCCTTTTCAAATTCAATGTTACCCAAGTGGAGTACTGCAGCCACCACTCTAAAAATTGCATCCTGCAAATGAGTATTATTATCATCAAAGACTCATTATATGATGCATTTATAGTGATATGTGTTCAGATGCCAATACCTGTTTATCAGAACTTATTCCTACAACATCCATAGCCCTCCGAGTGGCAAGGTACTCTTTAGATTCGTCCAAGCCATCCAATTCATAGCAGTTGGATTGGTTCAGATAGTGAAATTTTCTAGGATTTGCTAATTTGTATCTTTCAACATCCTGAAAGGAATTACTGGAAAATGTGAGAAAAAAAATGAAAGCAAATGAGCAGTTTTGAAAGAAATGATAGCAAACATGGATAATTGGCTTAATTGAAATATGAAGCCATTGCATTCATGCCACAATGATCTAATGGTGAGAGTGTGAGATGCATGTCTTGCTTGTAGGAGATCACGAGGTCTACAGATTCTCTTATTTACCCTTCACTTTTCTAAAAACTTTTTTTGTCAGGTGTAATACCTAGTGTGTGTGTGTGTGTGTAAACAAACATCCATGATAGCAAAATACTCAGAAAAAACAGTGATATATTACTCCGTATATTTTAGGGATAAATAAAAGGACATACTATTTGTATAGTAATGGATTAAAGTCAGCTAAGTGTCTTCCTCAAAGTGGCAAAATTTTGTACAATTTAGCACATATATATGTTTATATAAACACACACACACAATGCTCCCAAAAATTCAGACTATAAATCTACTTTGAGGTGCTGTACCTCGGGAGGTGCATTGCAAAGCATGTAGAAGCAGTGATAATTTCTTTCGGGATCAGACACTTGACAAACACGAGATCGTTCCAGCAAATATGTTCTGATAGCTGCTCCAGATATTCTCCCCCTTTTGTCAAATTGAATTTCGACAAATTTCCCAAAGCGACTGCCACCGGCACACATTGGTCAGCAAGCTCTAATTATCAGTTCAAAATGATGATAGTAAGACTAACTATACTCCTATGTCCCATTTTATTTGGTCACTATGTCTACGTCAATTTTGACCAAATGTATCAGCACTATCCAATGTTTGAAGCACTATATAATAAAAGGCTTATAAAAACTCTAGCTGTATCTAAAACGAGAGTAAATTTTCAATGAAATATAATTCAAAGATTTGAAAGGGGCGGTTGGAATTCCAAAGGAGTAGTAAAAAGTGCAAATTTCACGAACCTTGAGTTGTTGTTCCTCACTGTTTTTGCATTTCCGAATGCTTCAAGGACTGGATTTGACTACCAAACACACATCCACACATTATTAAAAGAACTCTGTGGTTTCAACAAAATCAAAAGAAGTGGAGTAACAGGTAGAACACCTCAAGGACTTTCTGTTCCACGGACCTCCCGTCAGCAGCAGCTCTACCTCCCATATAAGCAAGGTATTGCATAAGCATTTTTGTGCTTTCGGTCTTGCCAGCTCCACTTTCTCCACTAACCAAAATTGACTGGCTTATCCCATCGTTTACCATCTGCCTGCAGTAACAAGAGGAATAAATAAAATTCATATAGTACGATGAAATGGGTATAGAAAGTGATGGTTAACAAGCCAAATAAATGTTGTCAGCGTGCCTGTAAGCTGCGTCTGCAATAGCAAACGGATGGGGGCTTAAGTCTCCAAACACAGCTCCTTTATACTTCTCCATAACGTCTTTTCCGTATAGATCAGGCAGCCTTTTAAAAGGATTTACAGCGATTAATATGCTACCTGTGTAAGTCTGAGAGAACAATTTGGTATGTAAGCCTCAGCCACCACTCGAATAAACCTGGAATTTCATGCTCAGATAACAAATGAGAGTGCTTACATAAATTTCATTGGTCGCGTATCTACACTTAAAGTTATCCAAAACTCCTGGCTCGTGGAGATAGGCAAGCTTTGTCATGTCATCCACACCACCAGAAGGAGCCTCTGTATCTTTTGGGTAGACATTAGATGTCTTGGCTATAATCTACAGCCCGAAGTTCAATATATATCAGAACTTCTCAAGCAAGATGAATGCATTGCATTGATACAGAAAGATAGATATCTCACCGTAAAAATTGAATGGAAAATATGTATAGAAATTTACCTCCAAGGAAAATAAATGTACTGATATACATAAGCTTTTACCCTCCATTCTTTTCTCAAAATAAAAAAAATGAAATGCAAAAAGGATCCACAAAGCAAGTGATTACCGTCTTTCCTGACGTACAGTTCACTTTAATCTCCTCGCCATCGACTTCCAAAACATTCCCATCAATCCAAGCTACCTCAGGGTCCTCAACCCAAACATGAGAGCCTACCACAATAGAGGACAACGCACTCTGCACAAAATGTAGCATAGTATGAATTCGATTATAAAGTAAGGAATGCAGAGTCAATTTGGCTATGCGCTATTCAAATACAACTTGCTACTCCTTATTAAAGAGTTACTTAAATAGCTAGCTATAAGCCTATAACTGTACCATCCAAGCTCTAAAATTCATTACTTCTTAGCTTTCCCTTTTTAATCTTCTCATTTACTATACTATTCCAGAGTCAAACTATATTTTTCTTTTCTTTGCATTTTCATTAATCATTTGATAAAATAAAATGATCAAGTTCTGCTGTAGAACTTTTAATGTAATATTTAAATGCATAATGTGGGATTTGAGTAGATCAACCCCCCCTCCCCCCTACCCCCTCCTCCTCCTCCCCTCTCTCCTTTTCAGAGAATGTTGGTGCAAAAACACCTCCAATGAAGCACATTTCACCATTGCTATTAAACCAATATGTATTTGCTACAAAGATACAATAATCTTTCTTCTCGCACACGTTTGGCATTAACCAGATATTCAATTACATAGAGATCTCCAATGAAATCCCACGTTGATAACAATTATAATAATAATGTTATTATTATTATTCATGCCAAAACAACATAAGAAAAGAAGAACAAAAAAAGAAATTAAATGAATGAAAAAGTTGATGAAATCCCATACCATTTTATTTTTTTTCTCTCGATACAATTCAGAGCCAAACGGAAAAGAACGTTGATGGAATCTTCTTCCTAGACGCAATACCGGGAAAATTCATAGATCGTGATGAAGAAATGAAGAAGGTTTACATTGAAAATGTCCAGGCGCTACATACATACAATGGCGGGCCTCTGGATTTACATGCTGTAAATAATTGTGTCTCTATAGGTAATCTGGTTGAAGAAGGTAATTAAGGTAGAGGAGAAATCAAAATCCATTCAATTTACCTCCCCGGGAATGGCGTTAGTTGTTTGTTCGTTGGCTCTTTCTGTTCTGTTGGTTCCATTTATTGGTTTCGGGTATGGTTCGTACCCGTTTAGAATACTTTCAATTGCACTGTAGCTACTAGAGGTGAAAGTTAGTATATGGTACATCCGTATCTACCTAGAAATAGCTACATCCATGTAGTACCCATTTCAAAGTAAAGTAGTATTCATTCTCGCACAAGCATAATGGTTCATTTGAAAAACGTGGTACTCATTCCGAAGTAAAGTAGTACTCATTCTCGCACATGTATAATGGTTCATTTGAAAAACGTGGTACTCATTCTGAAATAACGCAGTAGTCATTCAGAAATAATATCATACTCATTTTTCATAAATTTGTTCAATATTCATTTACGAATAACATGATATTCATTCTAAAACATAGTAGTACTCATTCACACCTAGTACTCAATCTTAAAGAATTACCATTCATATAATCATATGTAGTTGAAATCTCATAAGTGGAAGAAAAGATCGCGAGCAACTGTCGCTGATAGACCTTCATCGTTGAATTGTCTATCGGACTTCCAAACAACCTCCATCTTCATCGTGAATCGCTCCTTCATCGCGCAGCCTCCTTCATCGTGTAATCGCCGATCGGTCGCGCAGCCTCCTTCTCCTTCATGGCCAATCCATTCGGTCGTTCTTGCACCAGGTCCCCGTTCGGTGTTCGCCCTAATTAATTACCCAAAAAATGATACAGAAAACGTCGTACATCCAGATATACAGTACTATATATAGCTACTCGATCACCTTAGACTCCCCGACACCCCGAGCCAACAGAGTAGTGATGAGGGTGAATCAATATATAACCTTAGTTTACTTTTTGGAGAGATTATCCCGTGCCCGATGCAGCCAAAGAGCTATCACATTAGATAAAAGGAAATGAAAGTTAGAGGATCTCAATATCATTGAACATATTTTATTATCTGAATATCTCAAAAATGAAGATGCTATGATTCATAGGAAAGTTTAGCAAAGTTCGAGCTCCAGCGGAGACATTGGCTCTTTGTGCGTCATTCGATTAAGAAAAATATGAATAGACACTACATTGTAATTGAGTCAATATCACTAAAACAACTCATGTATATGGTACTCACCAAAGGAGATTTACTTTCAAACACTTATCCGATGGACCCACTTGTAAGGAGAACATGGCATGGCAATGGGCATGTAGTGTATTGGGAGAAAATGATAAGTGAAGCGCCAATAGAGCAGTACGTGATAGACAAGGGGCCGGCAATGACACGTAAACTCATAACCTTTCGAATGGGTATTGATGTTACATTTACATTTACATGTGAGTTCCTAATAATAATAATTGAATTTGAATGAAACTCGAGTAATAATGCATGAAGCGCGGGCGGGCCACGGCTTATGTATTGTCAATTGAACAACTTTATGTTTTTGGCTATGTCTTTAATTTAATCTCTCTACAATGGTACGTGGAGACAAACTTCAGCTGTGTGTGATGGCAAAATGTTGTTTTGTACTCCCTCCGTCCCAAAAAGAATGGGACGGTTTGACTTTTTGGGAAATTAAGGGAGGGATATTTTGGTATTGACTTTCCAAAAATACCCTTGATGTGATGGGTAAAAGTAGGATGTGATGGGTAGATTATTAGGAAAAAGGTATGATGTGATAGGTAGGGTATGAAAAAGTAAGGGGTAAAAGTGGTTTTTTAATGGAAATGTAACAAACTTTACGGGATGCAGTTTTTTCTAAACGTAACAAACTTTTTGGGACGGAGGGAGTAGTATTTTGATCATATATATTCTTCTAAATATACTTTATGGGTTGAATTTACCACTTTTAAGAACAAATTAATTTTTTAAATAACTCTTGTATTAACTCATCAAAACATCAACAAATAAAACATTTCAAATACAATATAGAGGGAAAATCCAACGTAGAGCCAAAGGCATCTGCCAACAGATGAGTAACTTAAACATTTTACTGTAAAATATCCATGAAAGATGACAAATATCTATTAAGCTAAATTCGTATATACTCCCCCTCACACTATAATTTTTTTCTTTATTTACTTATTTTGGTGAATCATACATTGTATCATATATGATACTTTGTAATATTTTCTTCATTTTATGTATTCAGGCTAAAAACTAATGATAATAAAAATCCACACAATCCTGGCATTTCAAACTCTGCATGTATGATAAATTGACAGAATTTATTATCATTAGATAGATATTACAATGGCGGGTCATAACACACTTGAATCTACCCACATACACTTGAAAAAGTAAATGTCCAGCGATGGTGGACATTTACTTGAATAATGACTAGTAATTAATGACTAATGATTCTACATTGGGAAATAAAAACATATGATCTTAAATTGAGAAACTCATTATGACATATGATCTTAAAAATCCCTCTCTTTATATATTTTGATGTTTCAAACTTCCAACACTTTTAATTACTCCGTCCTAAAATGATCTTTTCAGTGACGATTCCCATAGTCAAATTTTAATCACTTTCTTTACCTATTCTCGTTAGTTATTTGATAAAATAACATAGTCATGTCACATCTTGTTTTGTAGAACTTTGGATGTAGTTTTAAAATATATATTCCGTAATTTTTATTTTTTTTAATTTTACACTTATAATCAAATAAATTGAATTGAAAATACTTTCAGTCAAACATTGTATTTAACTGGAAAGATCATTTTAAGAAAGAGAGAATAGTAGATTGGGCTTTATTTTTTTCCAACCCCCATCATATATTGATATTCTTCCTCCGCCCCATACACTATACATCCCGTGATTCCAACCAAGAAGCTACCAAGCCAGCCCTATATACACACACACACTCCATTACTACTACTGTATACTTCAATACTTGTTCTATTCAACTATATATATATAAATGACCCCGGGATGTTTCCAAAGCCGGCGGGGAAAACCCGGGCGCAGCTGCCGGAGGTTGGGGGACGGGAACAAGGACGAGGCGGTGGAGGGGATGAAGTACAGGGTGAGGGTTCTGCAGCGGGAGGTGGAGGAGATGATCTGCATCAGGGAGAAGGAGAGCCGGGTGCTCGAGCGCGAGACCCTCCTCCTCGCCATCAGAGAGGCAGCTGAGTGGAGGAAAGAGAGGGAGGCGCTCAAGGACCAGGTGAACATGTTAAGGAATATGTTGTTATTGGACGACCGAAGAAGAAGAAGATTCTGTGGCGAAGGTTGTTGTTTGGACGATGAGATGATGGTGGCAAGAGATGAGGAAGGTGGTGTTGTTGACAACAAGTGGAAACACCTCTACTTTGCCATCAAGGTCGAACTCGATCGCCTCATTCTCACCACCAACAACGACAACAACACTCGTAATAATCGAGGTGTGTTTCTTTATTCGTGTTTTTTTTTTGAATCTTCGCCGTTTTTTAGTCGGAAAATTGAGTTTTTGATTGAATTGGTCAATTACATGTGTCTATGGTGAAGATATGGTGGAGAAGGAGGTGAGGGGCAAGGAGGAAAAGATCAGGGATCTAGAGTCAAGAATTGCATTCTTGGAGCAGCAGGAATTGAGGAGACTAAGGGAACTTGACATCTTGAGGCAGAGCTTGAGGATTATGTTTTACAACAACAACAACAGCAAAGCATTGTCTTTTCACCTCAAATAATTCATCAAACATATCATATATATATACATATATATATATATATATATATGTATCATAGAATAATTGTCTTGAGAATGGTTTGTTTTATATTTATATAATTTTGTGCAGCTTTGGTATGTTATGATATTTCAAAACTACTTTTATGGGATTATACTAGATTATTGAAAAGGAAAATTCCAGAACAATGGGAGTAAGTACACAAAGAAATTATATTTATTGCAAATCTGATGACACATTCCCAACCCTCTCACTGTGGGAGATCACAATTTTTTTAAAACAAGTACAAATCTAATTTAGAACAGCTCCAAGATGGATCATTAGTATATAATGACGATTATTAGCAGCAGCCCTAAGAAGTAATTAATAAGTTAATTAAATTATTAAGATGGGCTTTGCGGCAATGGTATTTATATTGGGTGCCAAAAATTCATTTCTTCTGGTCACCGCCCATGCCCAGAGTGTTCTTGACGCCGTCGATGGCGCCCTGAGCCATACTGATCATCTGCTCGCCGGTCTGCTGGAGAAAGCCGGTCTCCCCTTCCTCCGCCCGCCTCTGCTGGGCCGACTGTTGCGCGTTCTGGGTCGCATTCTCCGCCTTGTCCACGGCGGAGTTGGCCGTCCCCTTTGCTGACTCTGCCCATTGCTCTGCCTTTGCCTGCACCCATCCCCATTATGCATAGTAAAAATAATTTCCCAATTTGACTTCTGTAATTAGATTTTTGAACTTTGACCGCATATTATTGATATAAATATTTAGATGACTGCATACTTTTGATCTTTTTTTTGAACTTTGACCGCATATTATGGTAAAAATAAGTTCATTTTTTTCTTAAATATTCATTTAAGAGATTTATATTTATGCAATTTTTGTGGATTTACGTCAAGGTGGTAGGTAAACAGGTAACAAGCTATGCCGCCACCCCTTTCTAAATAGCAAATCGTATTCTACTGAAAACATTATTCATGATCATTTGGAACCGATACATTGTTGCGAACAACCTTACGAACCATAGATAAATAGATATTAATAATCAAATTGTTACATTGAAGTCAAATGAAAAAAAATAATAAAAGAAATTGTTTGTTTGTAGATGTGAATGATGAATTAAAATGTGCAACCTGAGTTTGACCATGGGATTGGCCTGCTGTATACTGAGTGCTAGACATCTTTGGTTGAATTTTCAAGTAATTGGTTAGTATGAGTATATATGTATGTGTTTGTCTAATAATTATGATGATGATGATTTGGTTAAGGTAAGTGATTAAGGGTTATATATATGGATGGGGGTGAGAGGGATTAATGTAATTAATTAGTGGTAAGATATGATTATTGGCTATGCATGTTTTGCTGCATTTGACCAGCGCTAGCCCAGAGAGTGTTTAGCTGACATCTTCTGGTTGGGAGGTAATTTACTAGTAATTAAAGAAATTAGTGGGTTGGCTTTGACCAAGTTTTGTTTTGTTTTTTTTTTTGAAGGAGACTTGATCAAGTTTTAATACCTCCTCTGCAAAATGATATAAGCAAAAAATGTTGTGTCAAGACCAAACACAACCTGTCACAAGGGTTATATATTCGGATATACGGTTTTAATTGTATGTCCAACATAATTATATGTTACACATTTTCCATTACTTAAAACATGCATGTTTTGTGAGTATCTGGAGAAATTTAAATATAGTTTGAATTTTATCATCTCTCGATATTACAACCCTCACAAAGGTTCTTTTTGTTTTCGTTTGGAAAAATTAGCTTTTAACTTTATCTAACTCTTTTCAATTTATTTTAACTTCTTCTAGTTTCTTCAAATTCTTTCTATTTTTTCTAATTCATTTTAGTTTCTTCTAACAATGACATAAAAAATCTATTCAAAATCTACAACATAACACATCAAACACAGACAAAGATGAATTCTTGTTTATATTCAAAGTTAGTTTTCTTACATATTTATTTGAATAATTATTTAATTGAGTTATTTTTTTAACACTTTATTTTTTCCAACATATTCCAACTCCTAGTTTTTTGTAACTTCTTTTAGTTTTTTCTAACTTCTTCCAATTTCTTCCGAATCTAGTTTTAGAATTTCAACCAAAAAGAATAGAGCCAAATTAGGTGTTTTGATATCTTCCTATTTTGAGAGATATCAATTTGAGAGTTTGGATACATCTCTCAACCGTCGATTACCTTTGCTTGTCGATAACAACCATCGTTTCAGATTTCTCATTATACCTTCATTTTGGATTGGAGAACTCATACTCCCTCCGTCCCTAAATAAAGTTCTTCTTTCGTTTTTTCTTTGTCCCTAAATAAACTTCTCTTTTCCCCTAAAAAACCCCTTTTACCCTTTACTTTTTCATACCCTACCTATCACATCATACTTTTTTACTAATAATCTACCTATCACATCTTACTTTTACACATCACATCAAGGGTATTTTTGGAAAGTCAACACAAAAATATCCCTCTCTTAAATCCTCAAAAAGTCAAAAATGGAACTTTATTTAGGGACGGAGGGAGTATTATTTTTAATTTGTACTAGATTTTATAATTCAAATCATATCATCCTTGCTAAATCAATGAATCACTCGTAACAACTTATACAATCAGTGAACGACTAACTTTCAAACAAGACACTATTTGTCTCCATAAAAATCTTACTCCCTCCCTCCCTAAATATTTGCTACACTTGTATTCCCAAGGCAAAATATCAAATTTTTTGAATTCATTTTATTTACATATTGATATAGAAATAAAAAATAAAATTTACATATCAAAAAACTATATGAAAAGTTCTTCAAAATAAAAGGTGTCAAGAATATTTTATTTTATCAAATAACCAATGAAAACGTAGAAATAAACAAAAGTTTCCGCGACTGATGAGAAAGCAAACGTTGCAAATAATTTGGGACGGAGGGAGTATTTTTGAACTATGTTTGTAGTTAGTGTTAACATTTTAAATATTAGGGAATAATTTCTTAGTTAGATTCAAACGAATACAAGCCAATTAAGACAATTAAGAGAAGAGACAAAAAAAAATGGACTTGTGCAGCCTACAGTGAGTGAGCTTTAATTTGGTTTTGGGTTGCCATTAACTGGCGAAACAAGTTGGGCCTAGAAGTTCGCAATTCTTCTTCCTAGTCCCAGTGGTCACAATACATTTTGTTTTGTGAGTTTACACTGATATTATTTTAAAAAACCACAAGTCTTTATTTTTGTTTGGAATGTAAGAATTATTAATAACATATAATACTAATAATAATTATAATAACAATAATCAGTTATCTCCTGACTTGAGTAGTAGAAAGTCCACTCTCCAAGATTAATGAAGAAGTTCATCCAAGTTCAATCCCATCAGAGATAATAGGTTGAGAATAATATGAACAGATACTACTTTGTAATAGAGTCAATAACAATCAAAAAAATGATAATAATAATAATAACAACATGGATCTTTTGATTTTTGAAAGCAAAGTCAAATTATGATCCGAAGCACTTACGATGTTCTATTAGTAAAACTAATGATTCTTTTCCCCAAACCCTTGTCGCATCAGATTTGGGGGTAAGTTTTAACCTGTTTGAGCACTGAGTAGTAGATCTCGAGCTGTTGTTCATCACTAAGGGTGCTTGGGATAGATTCAAAGACTAGGGCTGCAAGAAGATGCTTGCACCGCCCATGATATTGAGTGAGAGGGTACGTGATAGGTGAGATGGGCTCCTAGGAGGATCAGAGATCGATTCATTCCTCCACAGTCCAAAGTGGAGGTACCTTTTGTCCCTACACGCACCAGCTAGCTTGCGACTGATGATTGAGTTTCTCTATTCGCTGGTGGTGAGATTTAACTCAACAATTATGTCATGCGAAGAATAGAAGAATAATAAGAACATTATTGGATAAAGTAAGAACTCTTGCATGTTTATATTAGCTATATTCAACTTCGGTTACAATGGAGGGTTTACCCTCTATTTATAGTCTATTTCTACCGTATACAAGACATGTAATATTTCATGCACTATATTACTGCTAATTCTCCAATCATGCATCAATCGTGGCGGGGAATCAGTCATCAACCCTTCCTCGATCCCACGATTTGGAGAATCGTGCTTCATTCAGGTATCACTGACCCGACACTCTGTGTCCACCTTCGGGCATTGACTCTACATTCTGCAGTTGGATTTATATCCCTGTTGGGCCGTGAAATCACAATTGGGCTGTCCATATCCGATCACCGAGCCCGGATATTCAGATTCTGCAGTGCTCGAGTTCGTAATGTTAATGATGTGTTTCCCTTTGTTCGAATGACGTTCACACTTTTGAAAGAGATACGATATCCTTGTCCTCGATATTGTTTTTTTTATTTTCCTCGATATAGTTATTCACAAAAAAAAACAAAAAATCATCATCCACAAATAAGAAACCGTGTGGATAAATTTGCATGTAAACGACAAACCGACCGGGTAGGATTGACGAGGTCACAAGGGAAAATAACAATCCTAAAACCGCACTACACAAAGACCTACTCTATTCCGACCGAGTCAAACTCCAAACTGTTACGGAATCCCCTCCCGAGTCCCCGACCTCCCAGCATTGTTATGTCAAGAAAATACGAAATAACTTTTTAACGCCCAATCCCAGTGGGTAATAGTAATAGTTTTAACAGTAATTAAATTTTTTTACGGAGTATTATAGTAGGTTTAGTGCAAACAAAGTGGTAATTAAATTTTTATCAGTAGTACAGAGCATGCAGTATATTTTTCAAGGATGTAAAAGTTTCCTTGTTATGATAACATGGCAAAGGGAAGAACACCCATATCCCTCTTCCTAATTGCCCAACTACAATATACATATATATAGATAAAGAAATAGAACAAGGCAAGAGCGACGGTGGCCGGCGGCCGGCCGGGTTCAGACTTAGTGCATGAGAGCAACGGCGGCTTCTTGCACCAGCGGCTGAGTGACGTGCACGAAGTGCTCCGCCTCCCGCTCCACCTCCTCCCAACACCGATCCGCCCTCTTCCCTTCCCTCATCTTCTTCACGAACGCCACGAACCTCCGCCAGTTCTCCGCCTGGAACAGGTCCGGGCTCATCCTCAGGTACGTGAACGCGCACATCTCGTCCCTGTCGTCGCCGCCCAGCGCCGCCGCCGTCCTCAGGATCTGCTCGTGCGCGTACCCGTCGTACCGCGGCAGCGCGTTCTCCCCCGCCAGCGGGACCCCTGCCTCCCCCGCCGCCAGCGCCACTTGCCTCACCAGCTTCTCCGGGGCGCACTGCGCGTCCTGCGGCTGCTCGTGGTCCCGCATCTCGACGCAGGTGAAGTTGAAGACGGCGCCGTGGCGGCCGAGCATCCGGGCGATGGGCAGGTACCCGTCCCGGAATCGGGTGTTGTAGTACCCGGCCGTGAGCTCCGGGGCGTGGGACCGGGTCCCGTAGTGCCAGTGGATTCCGGCGATCTTGGCGGATATCTTGACGCTGCTCTTCTCGAATAGGGATTTGGCGGATTGCAGTATCCTCTCGCCGTGGTCCAGAAGCATCTGGGAGTACCAGGAGAGGAAGAATTCGCCGTAGGGGCTGGTCCAGCCACCTTCTTTCCGGAAGAAGTTGGTGTCTTCCGGCCAGTTGTTGTAGTGGCCGGCATCGGTTGGGCCGTTGTGACCCCATTCAGGCTTGCCTATGGCTTCCGCTGTGGCTTTCAGGCTGCTAATCATATACTGCAAACATAAAACCCATAAAAACACACAATTGGTAAAGACAATCCACACATAATTATTGCATAATCTACAGATCAGATTGTCAAACATATAATAACGAAGGTCTTTATCGAGTTGATCCATCTCTATCAATCTAAATACCAACCTTATCAAAGCACTGAAAAGCCCCAATTCCAGGGAACCTCCAAGTCCCATTTTGCTCAGGATAGGAAGGAAAACGGAGCTCTCCGGCTGGACCCATGCCGACTTGAATCTCCTATATTGCCAAAAAGAAAAGAAAGGAAATCATCAGTGCTGAAACGAATTACCGGAAGCAGATGACAACAAAGTATCCCCAAGATCCCACTGTCTGGTCTGGAAAATACACATTATATTGCGGAAACTCACCACAATGGTGTCACCTAGCATGTCTTCAAACCTGTCCCTAAAGGCCCTCATGAAGTCAGAGTAACACTGGACAGGAGTTCTTCCTTTAAGGACTGGAAGGGTATCACAACCAAGTGATACATACTCATAATTCCTCCTTCCCCATTGATCTGTGTATGCAAGGTCTGGATCCTTGTCCATCTCCTCCCTCACCCACCTTGGAAGAGGAATCCTGATTTCGAAAAATGGGTAGACCACAATAATCAACAACAATATGTTACGGTAGTAGCCCACTAGTCCTCTCTATTTGATCGATCAAGACCAAAATAGTCAATATGTGCTACAAAATGCCTTTCCAATGTAAATCTTGTTACTTTTTACAGACTTAAAAAATCAGAGTGTTAGTTCATAAATGTGATGAATGGCCAAGAATCCCCAAGATGTATGGGAAAACAATTTTAGTTCTCAGTTGTACCAAGGAACGGGGTGAAGTGACAAAAAAACAATTGTAATTGATGTCCACCATTGTTAGGCACAAGCTTACAAATTTTAAACTCATTTCTTAAAAATGATTTTAGTAAGTAACAACTACCAGACAGAAATCATCTTCTTTAATTTGTTCCTGAGATTCTGCTACGACTAAAAAATATTGGGCCCTTGTGGAAAAGGGGAAAGAACTCGATGTCGGCAAGTAAAGTTGAAACGGTACTTTGCCTTTTTCAATTTTCAAGAGCCGGATCTTAAAAATCGATGCGAATCCCCAAAATTTGGAACAGGAATAAAGTGAAAAACAGAATTACGGTATGGTGAAATTACAGTAGTTCAGAGGGTAAAAAAAATAGAGGACTCACGTGCAGGAGTCTCCGACGTTTCCGCCGCACTGGTGGAAGGACATGACGGCCTGAACCTTGAGGCCGTGCTTCTTAGCCATCTCCAGCAGCTCGGAATATCCGCCCCAGTTGTACTCTCCCGGCGACTCCTTCTCCACCAGCCCCCACCAGACGTCCATCATCACCCCCTCCACTCCGGCGCTCTTCAACGCCTGCAGGCTAGCATTCATCGCCTTCCTCCGATTCACCGTGTGATCCATCTTAACCGAGTCCAGCGGCATCATCACGAACACCGGAACCCCTCTCCCCCTGCCCTGCCCCAAAACCCCCATCTTGTACTCCCTCTCCATCGCCTCCGCCGTCGGCGCCTCCATCAACGCCTGGCAAGCCGCCGACAGATCCTGCCGCATCCCGCCCCTCACCGGACTGATCGGCGGCGACGGCGACACTCTGTCCACCTCAGTTCCCGATTTCCTCACCGAAACTCGAAGATTCGTCTCCGGATTCTTCCAGAACGCCGATGTCACCACCGTCGCCTTCGCCGGCCCGTCTCCGGTTCCACTCTCCACTGCTAACGGAGTTCCAGAAATTGCAGCGATTTGGTGCGATAGATTCATTGCCACACGTCAAAAATATGAAATATTTAAATTGAAAAAAAAAAAGAAAATCACAGAAATAATAATAATAAATAATTTTTATGATAAAAAAATCGCCAATAATTTGTGAGGATTTGAAGCTTAGAGAGATTCGGATGAGGGAAATGAAAGTTGGGAACGGTTATTTATAGGATTTTTTCTCTTTTAGAATATTCAGGTGGGAGTTGAGTGGTTCGATAATGTACGCAATTGGAAAAACGGACCGTTCCAGTTATGCCACGTGGAAGGGTGACACGCGGCAGCGGATAAGGGACTGGAGGTGGCGACGGTTCAGATTTGCTTGGCGTCACGAGAAGCGGACGGTGTGGATCTACTCCGCGTGAGAACGGTCCAGCGATATAAGCCGATTACGCGTAAAATAATCACCGAAAAGAGCCCGAAACGTGGAAGTGTCGGCGTATGTTCAGAGCCCATTTTATCCAACCGGCCCAATCCAAAAAATGATCAGAAACAGTGCCATGGGTTTGCTCAGGTAGTTGGGTAAGTTGTAAATGTATAATCGAAAATTTGATTACATGTCTCCACTCGTATTGTTTATATGAAAAATATCGGTATCTACTTCAAGTATTTATTATTTGTATTCTTTTAAGAATATCTGATTGGTAGACGAATAAGGATTTGGTAATCATACATCTAATCTGTTTTTTAAATTTGATCCGTATATACATCCATTCGAATAATTGTTTATCCGTGTAACTGATCTGCTATATATGATTTTTCTTAAATTTTTATTTTTATATTTTTCTTTCCTATTAATATTTCAAAGTACTCCGAAGTATGTGTAAACACACGATTATGCGTGTATGTGTAGTATATAATACTTTTTAGGATGTTATATCCACCCCCAGTTTTAACTATTTCCACTTCATTATTGTTAAATTGACAATTTCAATCTCAAAAAAATCAAAAGAGAAAATTTTTACCACGACCCTACTTTTTACCATCCATGTTAACTTTTTGTAGAATACTATAGATTATAAAAATAAAAAATATTACTGTGTACAGATTACAATAGAATCAATATAATAAAAGCATTTATATACTACGGAGTATATAGTTCAGTTAAACTTTGAAATTTTTGAAACGCTTACAGATATATCTAATATCCGATCGATATTCACGAGGGATATGATTTTTATTTTTAGCATTTGTTAAGATCTGTTTCTGAATTTGATATCCTGTTAAAATAAACGGATACGGATTTGGTAATGACACATCTAATCTGATTAACATCTATTTACACCCCCATGCTCTGGTCACAACAAAAGAATATAGGGGTGAGCAAGAACCGAACTGATATCGAAATCTCTGAAAACCCAAAAAAACCAGACTAAAAAAACCAAACCAAACAAATACTGCAGGGAAAAAAGTAAATCATACCGAATGATTGGTTCGATACTTGGAAATGATCTACTCCCTCCATTCCATATTAACTGTCCATTATGACTTTCTTGATACATTGAGAAATGAATGAATGTAGACATAAAGTATGTCTACATACATTCATTTCTCAATGTACCAAGAAAGTCATAATGGACAGTTAATATGGAATGGAGGGAGTATTATAAATGTAATAATCTTGTAAATTTTCTTCATTACATAATAAGTTTGTTTTAAAAATTTTGTTCACATTTTATTATGTGTAGTTGTGTATATTATACTTTTAGTCAATTTTAAATTTTTTGTAGATGAATTTAGGAACAACAACGCAAATTTAAAAATGTCATTTTATTATCATTCATTCTCTTTAGTTTGTGAAATATGAACTAAGCTTCTTAAGCATTTATTATATTTACTTATGCATTTTTTAGTTTTTATGTTTCTTTATTAAAATACTTTCGATTTTTCAAATATGAAATATTTTTATGACCTTTTAAAGTATAAATTAGGCAAGGATGTATTTATTTTAATTTGTATCGAAACCAATATGAAATCCTCTGGTATAATACCAAACCAAAATTTTCAGTTCGAAACTGGTACGACACAAAATTCCATACCAAACTGAAATATTGGTACGCTATCGGTACAAGCTAAATATCATATCATACTCACCCATAGGAGAATGTACACCCATACGTCCAACTGTCCGTAGAATTAGGTATGCCTGACGAATAATTACTTTGAATGTGCGGAATGTTCATTTTCAACCTAGTGTTCATTCTAAGCTCTAAAGCCTGCTTAACATAGTTTTCATTTCGAAAAGTGCTCTTTCTAAAACAAGTTTCTTTTAAAATAACTAGCTGCAATGTTAGATATTTTTTTAATTAGAAGTTTATTATTTGAATTTATATTAGGGTTCATATTTTACATAAAAAGTGTTCCAATTTTTTTTGAAACAATTATGGGTTAAGTGCATGAATAAAAATAACCTTTAGCGTAAATAAGAAGTTTCCTCATTTGACAACATCGTTAGAGTTTAGTATTAGCATTCTAAAAAATTACCGAGGAGCATTTAGCATTAGCGTTTTCAAAACTAATCTATATTGTTAAATCTTATAAAAATTTGCTAAATATAATAAAAAATGTTATTCCCAAACAAAGCTTACGTGTGTCATTGACGCATTGTATCCCGAAGGGCTCTTCATAACCTGTTAGACGAGAGAGGAGATAGATTAAACTTTGATTACAAATTGGTGGCAATGAAGGAACTTGTACTTGTTACTTGCAGAGGTTTTATGCATAACATAATCAACCTGATATTGACTGATTTCATTGTCCCACACCGGTTAAATGGGGAACTTGGTGATGGGTTTATATAGCCAAGGGTTCTCCCACTTTAACAGCTAGCTTTTAAAGTGTGGCTCTCCCTTGTGCTGTGTCAATGGTATCAGAGCCAACTCGGAGTGGTGGCCTACAGAGTGGTGGCCTGGTGAAACCAGCCATGACCAACGTGGCCGTGACCAACGTAGCCGTGACCAACGAGGACGTTGGGCCTTATGGGGGGTCGAATGATATTGACTGATTTCATTGTCTCACACCGGTTAAATGGGGAACTTGGTGATGGGTTGATATAGCCAAGGGTTCTCCCACTTTAACAGCTAGCTTTTAAGGTGTGACTCTCCCTTGTGCTGTATCAATGGTATCAGAGCCAACTCGGAGTGGTGGCCCACGGAGTGGTGGCATGGTGAAACCAGCCGTGACCAAGGCCGTGACCAACGTAGCCGTGACCAACGAGGACGTTGGGCCTTATGGGGGGTCGAATGATATTGACTGATTTCATTGTCCCACACCGGTTAAATGGGGAACTTGGTGATGGGTTTATATAGCCAAGGGTTCTCCCACTTTAACAGCTAGCTTTTAAGGTGTGACTCTCCCTTGTGCTGTATCACAACCTCTCATAACATTTGCAAGAAATCGAACTCAGATACTACCCTTTTCATGCCAACTGAACAACGTTCAGCGCGAATTTTGTGAGCTGTCCACAATCTATGCGTGAGCCGTGAGACTTCACAAACTAGGTTGTCGTTTACTCTTTTTCTTATTTGTTGTTAAGATAAGCTTGCTCCAGGATTAGAAAGCCAGCGTAAGAATTAAGACTCATAAAGACTAATTAAAGTTTACTCACAAACCAAATTTTTAATTATTAGTGTTACCATTTCAAATTATTTTATGATATTGTATACGGATTATTAATTTGAGAACATGAAAATTATATAATGTCCTTAAATAGTTTTTTCAAGACATTAAATCAGAATGCTAATACTATTGCCAAAACTCAAATGATACTAGAATAAATTACCTTCGTTCATGAGTATATGTCCAGTTTTGATTTTTTCGGCTAACCATTTTTAACTTTTGACTTATAATTAAATAAAATATATATTGTATATTAATTAGAAAAAAAATATTTTGAAAATATTTGACATAATACAACTAATAAAATTATTTTTGTATCAATATATACGGAGTAATACTTTATCATTTTTATTTAATTTGAGATTAAAATTTTCTAATTTTGACTGAAAAATTCAAAAATAGGAAAATACTCAGAGATAAAAGGAGTGAGTAGCATTAATTTACATGCACCTGATGTGTAAAGTGCCACGAGTTTAAGAATTGACAAATTTTGGACAAATCTATGTATATTTTTTTTTAGTTTTTTCTAAACTTTATTTAAAGTTCATAAAATCGAACCATGTCTCTAGTTTAAAGAGGGATTATAATAATCGAAAAAAGGTGGATTGAGTACTCAACCGATTAAAAAAATGAAAATATTATGGAGTATTAATATTTGCATATTATTAACGTGTCTTAAATCATCTGCGAATCTAGACTCCTAGCAATCAAATTAGGGGCAATCAAATAGGTGGATGCTGAGTATTAAATACACATATTATTCTATTTGGCTCATCCACTAAATTTTTGAGATGTGAGATATAGTGAAACAAAGAAAAGATATTCAATTCTCTAATAAAGTTGTGTAGTTTTTTAATTAGATTGTTCAGTTTAAATCACTGCACTTTCACCATTTTTATCTATCACATTAGCGTCCTCAGTTTTCCTTTTTACATCATCATTCATGGGTATTGTTCGCTGCATTCTCGCCATCCCCATCTTTTGTATCATTAATCTTACTTTTATACCGTTTCATTGAATTTTTTTTTTTACTTTAATTAAGAGCTAAATCAAACATTTCATTAATACTAAATTAAAAGATACAACTAAATGAAACCGCCCTAAATAAGAGCAGAACATATTTTTCATCCCTAAAATAAGAGTGACACATTTTTATCTTTGAAATAAGATTAATGCACAGTGACAATATGATACTATAGACATTGCAGATTAGTGTATGCAATCACCTTGCATCTGCTTCATTGTACAATCCTTTCATGCCTTGTGTCTGCTTCATTCTACAACCCTTAGCTTTCATCACCTTGGCTGCAAGCTGATTGCATCTCTATGCTGCCGTGATTACATTCCCACGGTCTCGACTCATTACATGCTTCAGACTCCAAATTAGAATAACCGCCGTGGTTTCGTTTTCCTTCTTTTGGATGCATATATTTTGCCCAGTCATTCCCATCCATCATTAGCAAATTTGTCGTTTGAGTTTGGATATTGCACCAGGAAGAATGTCACCAGCCTCGCCCAACCTGTGCCTCCTTTTTGGTGTTCCCCTAGATAATGAATGAATCTTCATGTCTTCGTTCTCTCATGTTTTGTTTGCAATGAGTCATTAGTTCATGCCACCAGACTACCATACCAACTGGGGAAATATGGAGATACAATGGGATTCCCAAGGTTTCCAAAAGATGCCCAACCGCATAGATGTGTGTCCATTTCATGGCAGAAACGAGTGATCAACGTGGGGAACATATCCCACGTCTTTCATCTGATCAATGAGTCCAGTAAGCAAATCGGTTATGTCCTCCATGTGTGTGTGGGACTTGTCTCTGGCCACAAATTCATGCCGAGTATCTCTAACCTCAATCCAACTATAGGCCACTTCTTTCTGCAAGCCCTTTTCGTCCATGTATCTGCGTACTTGACCTGCATCTTCCCACCTCCCAGCTTCAGCATATACGTTGGCCAGCATCACATACCTGCCGGTGTTTTCAGGCTCAAGCAGAAGAAGCCTTTTCGCTGCCCTCCTAGCCAGCTCCATGTTCCCATGTACCCTGCAAGCACCAAAGAGTGCGCCCCACATTCCAACATGGTCTGAGCAGCCATCAGGAGATTTCTCAAGCAACTCCATGGCTTCTCTAAGCCTGTTCTTTCGTCCAAGCAAGTCAATCAAGATTGAGTAGTGATCCAGCTGTGGCTGCACACCAAAATCCTTTTCCATCCTGTGAAGAATTTGAAGCCCTTCGGTTTCTAATCCCGAGTGGCTACATGCTGCTAAAACCCCAAGAAATGTGACATGGTTTGGGGTAACACCAGATCCTATCATTCTGTTGAATAAGGCGAGTGAAACCTTTCCTTGCCCATTTTGGGCAAAACCGGTAATCATTGAATTCCAAGTGACAATGTCCTTCTCAGTAGAGTTCTCAAACAGGGTTAGGGCAGATGTTGTATCACCACATTTACAGTATACATCCACCAGAGCATTAACTACACACACATTGTTGAAGCAACTCCCACGCCTTAAGATGTGCCCGTGAAGTTGCTTCCCTTTCTCTACCAGTGCTAAATCTGCACAAGCACCAAGAGCACAGACATAGGTGAAATCATTAGGCCTAATCCTCGCTTCCTGCATTTCTGAAAAGACATTCAAAGCTCTATCTCCTCTTCCATTTTGCACGAACCCCGCGATGAGAGCAGTCCAAGAGACTGCATTCCTCACCGGCATCTGATCAAAAATCCCCTCAGCATCCACCATTCTAGATGCCCTCGCATAAGCAACAACCATTGATGTCCATGACACAACGTCTCTCTCATTCATCCGACTGAATATCAAATATGAAATCTCGGGTTCACCGCATTCCCCATAAGCATCAATCATAGAATTACAAACCACGCCATTCAACTGCAAACCTGCCACAAGAGCCGCGCCGTGTGTTTGTCTCAACCAGTAGCCAGCCCTCAAACGAGCACAAGCATTCACCACGCCCACAACAGTAACCTCATCCATAACCAACTTCTCCCCACCCAACAAGATTACTTCTTGCATTCTCCTAAACATGTAGATAGATTGTCTATAATACCCATGTCGATTCAAGGTCGAAATGACGCTGTTATAGCTCACGACATTTGGTTCAGGCATTTCGTCGAGCAGCAGGTGAGCATGTCCGAAGCGGCCAAATCTTGAATGAGCAGAGATGATGGTGTTCCAGGAGTGAGTGTTCCTGTGGGGGAGCTCATCAAAAACGGCCTGGGCAGAGTCTATGGAGTCGCATTTGGCGTACATGTCAATGGCGCGGTTGGCCAGAAAGGTGTTGAGATTTAGAGCGGTTTTGATGAAAAGGGAATGCAGTGTTCTTCCCAGCTTCAGGTTTTTGGATTTGATGCACTTTGATAGCAGAGTTGCATGGTATTGGTCAACGCTTTCGGTCGACTGCATTATTTTAGTTTTTTTAAAAAGTGCTTAACCCTTTGTTTCGACGATGGAAAAGAAAGTGGAAGGGAAAGAAATTGACTAGAAAGTAAATGGTGAGAAAAAAAATGATGAGCAAATGAAAGGAAAATAATAATTATTTGGATGATTAAAAAATGAAAAAGTAAGAAAGACATTTTCCATCCACTCTTTGGTTGATGAGAAAAGTAAAAGGAAAGAAAATTTAATGATGTAAAATGATAATTTTATTCTTCTCCTATTTTCACACAAAGGAAGGACAAAGGGCAAATGAGTAAATTTGTATGGTTTTCTCACCTATCAAGTGAGAAAAGATTTGGGCTTCCCACGCTCGCTTGTTTCCATGCATCTTTGAAGGGTCTCCGGCCGGGGTGAGCATTCTAACCGACCTGACCGCCAAACCGCTAATAAAAAACCGAATTGACCAAAATTCGGTTTCGGTTTCGGTTTCAGTTGGACTTAATAGAAAAAATCGGTTAATTCGGTTAATTCGGTCGGTTATCGGTTACGGGCTTTGAATAGCCGAACCGACCGAAAACCCGAATTCTAAGCCCAGTTATAAGGTTGTAAGCCCAACCCAATTCTTGTATCCTTCCAGACCTTTTCTTTTCTCACATTTAGCACTGCATCCACACCTCATCTCGTCTCCTCCTTCAAAGGACTGCGGACTGCCCACCAGATTCCATAGAAGAAGACTTTTATCTTTTTTTAAAGTCTAGATCTGAAGCGATACTTGGGAGGCGAGACCCGAAGTTTCGAAATTTGAGGTAAGTGATTTTGTAGGGTTGGGATTGCTTGGCCGGAGACTATGAAGGCTGGGCGTCGGAAGTTGGGTGGTGGAGCAGTCGAAGTCGCATAGGCGAGGCAGGGCCGCTGAGTATGTCTAGAATGAGTGGAAGGTGTTAAACACCATTGGAGTTTATTGGAGTTGAAGATAACATCCGGGCATCCGGCAGCATCTTATTGAGAATTGAAGGGTAGTTTGACTAGTTTCCATTTATCCCTTCAAAGGTTCCAATACTTTTCGGTTTTAGAAAACCGACCGAAATTAGTCGGTTTACTCGGTTTCGGTTATTTCGGGTTTCCATACAAAGCGGTTCGGTTTCGGTCGGTTATCATGGACTAAAAATCATTTCGGTTTTTTCGGTTTTGAACCGAAACCGACCGGAACCGACCGATGCTCACCCCTAGTCTCTGGCGACTCTTCGTATTGTCGCCCAATGTCCAACTGAGGAGTCATCTCGCTCCTATATAAGAAGCACTTCGTAGTTGAGGAGAACACACTTAATCGACCTCCTTGCATACTTTGTTCAAATTCATCGGTGCACTATTTCTACCGTTAGAGACTTTGCACTTAGTAGTTTTATCTTGAGAGACAATTGTCCACGTTGCCAGTTCGGGAGGCAGGTGATACTACTTTCGGTGTGGCACTCACATGCTCCAGAGTCGGTTCATCTTCCACAACTTCTGATGCGTGTATTCCACCCATGATCTTGTCCGAATTCGGGTCCACAACAGTTGACCGGTCAAGAGGCAAATATATCACGATGAAAAATTTGAGCTAAAAATATAGTACCAATCGAGTTTGAAAAGTACACCAGTGTAGACTTTAGACTCACCGGTCAGAGTACGTGACTTCGAGCTTGTGGTCATATGCCCCTTCAGAATGCGGAAGGTAAACCTACCGGGTAGGTTACTACGATGTAAAAATGTCGGCACGAATAACTCCAAAGTTGGTTGGCAGTGGTGAAAGATTTTAACGAAAGATTGATAAAATATTCCTTCAATCTCAGCTGGGCACTATGCGCCAAAGGAAGAGTCATCAGCACAAGAGGACACTTGATGGTGTAAATATAGCTGGGAGGGTTGACCGGGTTTGACCTGGACACTCGACCCGTAATATAAAACACACAACAAGAACACAAAGTATGACCTAGACCGGGTAAATCTCCTCAGTCCAAAATATATTTCTTACTCTGTCTCAAGAGTGTACTAGTTTTTAGTGAGAGAAAGAATGGATCCCCTCCTCTATCCAATATCATCATATTTATAGAGGAGGATTTGTGACCTTCCCCTGTTCATCCATGGACAAAATAGGAAGCTTGTGGGAAGGTCACTGTAGATAATGGAAGCACTGTACAATCATGGACATGTTACTAATACAACCAAAAAGCACTGTTCAATCAAAGACTAAAATGGATATTCTCAATCCAATCAACCCTGCAAAATGACAAACATCCCTTTCACTGTGTGCCTCGTGATGGATGAGCGGCGGGGTGTCCCCTCGACCTCTGACGTGGTTCACCATGCCTAAGAGACTGGACCAATGTTAGCCAAGTAAAGTGATATGACCGGTCACCTTCTCT